CCCCCCCCCCCACTGGCACAGCAGTATGTCTGCTAGTAACCAGGTTTCGATACCCATACCAGGCAGAGCACAAATAAACTGTATGGTAGGAATTAATCAAAAGTGATATGTACTCTCTCTTAGAATTTTTGTCATTAGTGGTCAGTTACAAAAACAAAATGTGAATTTTAAAGGTGATTTTGTCACTTTTATAAAAAGCCTGTTCAACTCTAAAAGAAACAAAGTGTGCTGTTAAAGATTCATACGTGTTTTACTCTTATAATTTTTACCACTAGCTTCTGTTGACTGTATGACTAAAAGTAATTCAACTAGCTTCAAGTAAGTTTTAAAGTATACCTCTATTCACATTAAATACACCATCTTATATGTATTACTTTAAACTTTTTATCTGCTTAATCTTTTAATCTCAAACAATATCAATGCCATCTACCCTAGATGCCAATTACACCACTGTGCAGCTGCCAAAAAAACAAGAGGTCCTGGAGACATATCACATAGCTGTCATTTAGGTGCCGGGATATAACTTAAAGCATCATTGGAACAAGAACTGGCAACACTATTGGAAAATATCAAATAGAAAATTAAACAAACTGCTGAATGTGGAGACAGTCACCTAAGGGTTAATTCAAGGCTTCTTGCTTAACAAAGAAAGTTGAATCAATGAACTCACAGGCAAAAATAACTTTTGTTATGATGATACAAAATCCAGAGATCTTCAGAATGATGATGAACACAATGACTGGATGACTAAGAGTACTGGAGCTGCCAATAGAGACTCTGACAACAGTTCTGACCAACTTTGATATGAAGGCAATAATTCATTGTAACATTATTGCCAGAAGCTTTTAGACCATCAAATGGACCACACCCTGGAGTTTCTTCCTCACAAAAGAAGAATGTTCCCAAGAGATGAGAGTTAAGAACAGAATCTACTGTGCAACAAAAGAAGAGCACAATTGAGATTATCAGAGGGCCTGGTTCAGGTGCTTGAACCCATAATGTCCTGAACCAAACAACACACTTACTGTCTGCAGCCAATTATGAGAAGGTAGTTGCCAAGTAATAAAATCAAATAAAGAAAAAACAGTTCAATTTATTCCTATTTTTATTATTTTTTATTTATTTCACTTTTCATATGTTATATCTCTGAAGTTGTGGAAGTCCATGGAAGCAGAATCAGGTGAATTGCTGTTAATGGTGCCAGCATCTGTGTGACATAAGATGCTCATTGCCATATATGAGGGATACCAAGGAATAGAAAAAGGTAAAAATCAGGGGATGATCAAAATTATACTGGCCATGAATGTCTCAGAAAATATAGAATTTATAAGCAAGTGCTTTCAAAGAAAAAATTGCAAGGAACCTATGAAGCCTCATGAGACATCTGACAGACCATGACAGAAAGTTGCATCTTATATTTATTACAGTTCAAAAGGAAAAACTATAGCATACTCATGAACTTTTATTTAAACTGGTTAGAAGTAGTTGGCATACATAACCAATCTGCAAAAAAAAATGAATGAGAGAATTCAAAGCACTCTTTTTTTTTAGGAATGGGATACCCAAAACACTTGTAGCTGACAACGTGAACAATGAAAATTTTAAGTTCAGAAATTTTGCAAGCGTATGGAATTTTGTACTTAGGACTTCTATCTCAGGTACACACAATCAAATAGCTTAGTTGAATGAGCAACCCAAACTACACAGATCATGCTGAGAAAAGCAGATAAAGAAAAAAACTGACATTTATACTGATTTGTTAGACCGTCTCAACACCTAGTCACAGAAGCTTATTGATCACCAGCAAAACTCTGAATACATCAGAAACTAAGGTCTAAAATTCTAATAATGAATAAATAATTGTTACCAAGAGTGAATACTCATGTTAAAAGAGGTCTCAAACATATACAAGACACTCAGTAGAAGTTCTATGGCCATAATGCCACCACAATACACCTTTAAAAGTAGGTAATAGTGGTTTAATGAGTAAACAAGGCAAGTGGAAGAAACCCATTGTGAGTGCTAAACATTTGGAACAATCATTCTATAACACAACGAGAGCCAGTAGTATTTACAAATTCAATAGGAGACCTGAAACATTCTGAAAACCCACTTTCTAGAATACACACTTGAGAAACAGCACACATATATACATTAATACAAAAGAAGGAAGGACAATGTGACAGAGAATCCATTATAGGATAAGTGTGAAAGGGAATGAGACAGTAGGGCAAGTAAGAAAAAATGAGCCAGAAAGACATGTTAGAGAAAATAAGCAGTAGAATAAAAGAGAGAAAATAAACCAGTAAAACAAGAGAGAAAATAAGCCAGCAGAACAAGTGGGAGAAACTGAGGTAGTATGAGTGAGAGAGAATGAGTCAGTGAGACAAGTGAAAGAGAATGAGCCAATAGGACAAGTGAAGGAGAATGAACCAGTTGGGCAAGTAGTCATTTTCATTTGATGTGTGCAGTTGCTGCACACGCGTAAGTACACACACAAATATAATTACATGTGCTATTTGTTGCATGTGTGAAAGGCTATGTTCTGCCACATTACTATTTAATACTCCTCAGGAAAGTGGAAACATTATCTATGAAAATGCTCTGAGCAGCATAGTAATAGACCTTTAATTTGTTGTGATCATTCATGAACCAAACAGAAGATGGCAGCCAAAGGCAATAAAATCAATTTTAAAATGTTTCAAGGTTACAAGAAATTGGAGATTATTGGATACAAAACTGTAATAGTAGGAGCAAAAACATATGTGAACTTCACTAGGTATAAAGTGTGTGCCAGAAACAAGGACACCATACTAAAGATAAAAGGAAACATCAAGACATCTGCAAGAGTTTTCATTAACATTTTGATAAAATAAATAACTCCACTAATATAATACTTGTAATGCTAAAGAGTAAACATTTTCTTGCTATTTTCCTGTCATAATGCATCACTTTAAGCACCAGTTCATGCAGTTTGCAAGTGCAAATTAACTTGTGCATGTGGATCACCACATGCTTTTCTCAGTAAAAGGCCTGGGCAAGTGAAAGAGACTGAGTTTCAAAGGAAAAGGAAATGTGTGATAAGTAACTAAGAAAACTATACACACCATCTCGAAACCAGCATATACCACACTTGTTCAGATTATCAAATAACTAAAATTGAAACTAAATGTGTTCATATTGAAGTAATGTCTCCATAAATTGCAACAAACTGATGGTCTCAAAAGTTCAGTGATTGAAGTTAAATGTTTTGTTCATCTAAAATGGGGAAAACATCATATATAGCTATTTAATATTGTCAGGTTTTTATTGTACGTATGTATGGGCAGGGATTATTTACAGTTGGTGTCTGTGAATTGTTGGCAATAAACAGACAGCACACAATCCACTTGTTTTAAGATAATATAAATTCTAAACAAGTCAAACATACGTACAAAAATTTTTTACAATATTGTTTACCACAGTTGAATCTAGAGCTTTACATAATTATCTTTTACATCAAAAGTCCACACAGGCTGGTTCAATTACTTTAGAACCCAAATGACAAGAGAAATTATTCTTCTCTATCTCTGTTGTTACAATACAAGCTGTGAAACTAACTTCAAAATCACCACTATAACTGTTGGTTACCACAGTTGTATCCAGAACTTTAAATAATTGTATCTGTTTTTGTCAAAGTCTACGCAGGCAGGTTCAATTACTTTAGAACACCCTTCAACAAGACAAATTTTTCTTCTTTATCTCTGCTGTTACAATACAAACTGTGAAACTAACTTAACTTGCTCTCTGTATCTGCACGTATTTATAACATGCGACAGAAAAATTAAAAATATCTAACTCTCTAGTAGCAGCAATATTACACATGAGAAAAACTTAGAAGCTTCAAGTAAGATTACGTAAACAATATTAGAAAAGCCTAATACAACAATTAAACTGCATACACAACATGCGACTCATACCGAGTTATGTAAAGAAACTTGTCATAACTATTACTTTTAAAATAAATAACTATTAACACTCTTGTTATGAAAATTATTAAATATTTAGTCACTAAATAAACTAAATAATAACTCTTACACTAAACAATCTTGTGTATCCAACAAATAGTAGCACATGTTTCATTAAACTTATTAGGTAAGAGATGGTGTCAGTAGTAATGAAGTATTATGTTTTTTCTGGATGGCACCTTTTTTGTAGTTGAACCAGGTGGGTGAAGTAATAAATGTATCTTGTGTGATACTGCCATTGAGTGGTTAATAGACATAAACAAAACTTGGCAGCCTGTATGCCAGTGTTACAATAAATTAAACAGTAAGATGTGTTGTTTAGTAGTTAGTGCCAGAGTTGTAAATAACCTTTCTTCCTTCAAACAAGTTCTTTTTGAGTTAAAAGTCTTCACTTATGATAATCTAATGAAAAATGTCCACTTCATACAGAGAATAGCATCAGTAACATGCATCAGACATATGAAAGAGAATAAATGTACATGCTCTATTCTCTAACATTCCTTAGTATTTGGCTAATAAGATATAACTGCTTTATAAGTTTTATAATTAGAAGGTGTGCATCACAAAGAAAATATTGTAGTTAGATAATAATTGTGCAATATTTAAGTAGCTATGAAATCATAACATTTTAATTTAAGGATAAATAAGGAAATGAATGAAATCCACAAATATTCTAAACATATTTATATTAAGAAAACCATTAATAAGCTAAATAATGATTTTAAGTATCAGATGTTGTTGTACTTTTTAATTTGTTTTCCAGTAGAAGATAAAAATGATTATAATACTAAGCTTATTCAAAATGGTTACTCATTAAAGTAAATAAATATCTAGTTTCATAAATATAAAGATATAATCCCAAAAGTAATGTTAATCCTGTGGAAAACATTCAGGTTACAATATCCAGCATGTAGGAAACACCCAAAAAGATTTTGAAGACTCAAAGAATCTTTAGATCATGAAACAATGCTATTAGGTTGTGTAAAGAACACCACTATGACTTCAATCAATTTTTTTCAGTTTTTAGTGTTACCTTCTTTTTGAAACATAATTTTTTGTTCATGATGTAAAGGGCAAAATCAGCAGGATTTTCCAACAGTCTTTTTGCAGGTGCATTAACTCCTAGTTCCACCAAGGGATATGTGATCATGCTACGTGGACATACAGGTACCAAGTCTTCCAAGACAGTGACTGTGCAAGTTTTAGAGCCTTGCTGTAAACAGTAACAATTACTTAAATTAACACTAAAAAAACTTTGTATTTGGATATGTCAGTATTTCTAATTTTATGCTTTGCAGTAAGTAGAGCTCAACCTACATTGAAATCTATACTGAATTTTTTATGTGCATTAAAAGAAAACCTGTTAACAAACAATATTTATATATATTATACCTGATAATCCTAGAATCATATTTTTTTAAGTTCTTCCATAACATATATCCAAGCAAGATATTTGTTTGTGATCATGTTTGGTTTTCTATGTTATGTTAAAATTATTAAAATATTACAATCATTCATATATCATAATTACGTTGTGAAATTAACAAGATCTGCAAATTATAGCCATTTGAATATTATTTAGAAATGAATTTCAGCCACATTCATAAATATTTAGATTTTAGTGTCACATAATGAACTTCAGCAAATTAAAGAAGTATTACAACTCAATGCCTATCATTACAGCTCATCAATGCCATCATGGCAGCATGAGATGTTAAAAAAGTGTCTTAGTAGCAATAACTAGAGAGTAAACTCTTTAGCTCAGGTGGTAACACATTCATTTGACATGCAAGAGGGCATTTATAAAATGGTACAATTAGTTCAATCTAATAATCAGATGACATATTAACTTAAGGAACTATTTTCTTGGGAAAAATTATTTACTTGTTCTCAAATCATCATGTCTGATATATCAATGCAGATGTTTAATTATAATTTGATCAGTATAGGCAGTATCATTCATCTTTGTCTATGTAGATTCAGTAACACTAGTATATAACAGATGTCAAAATTAGTATTCTTAAACATGCACCAGAAAAATAGGATTTTAGGTAATAGAAATAACTTCAAAACATTAATGAAAGTCAAGCTGAATGTGCACCAAAGAAACATATCTAACCAAGGAATGTTAGCTTGCAGAAACTAATCCATACTACTCTTATTGAAATTAAGTTACACCTTTATCTGTACATGTAAAACGAAATTACTGAGAAAACCTTGCTAGATTATCTTCCTTGTAACTTTTTTTTGTAAAGGTAAAAGAAGCCTGAACACAGATTTATGAATATTCTAATATTTGCTAATGCAGTGAAAATAAGACTGGATTCAAAATATAATAAATAAATACATGCTTTTCTTAAAAATACAGATGATAATGTTTTATCACAGGGTGATCAGATAGTAATCTTTTTATTTTTATTGAATGTACTGAGCATTGGTTAAAAATATAATTATAATTTTTCTTGAAGTTAACCATAGTTTCTTTCTCTCTTACATAATAGTCACATTTGTTATCACTTGAATCATCTTACTTCAAACTTTGCAATACTGTAATATGTAAATAATAAAAGCAAGCAATTCCTGATCTAGTAGATACACAGAAAAACACAATTGTTACAGATGAATATAAGGAACCCAGGTGATCACATGTGAAAAGTAAGGGCACACATGAATATGTACTTATATGGAAAGGTTAATAGTGATAATTTCTGCTACAAAAAATTAAATCTGTCAATACATCCTACAAGTTCAAAGCATGATATATTAGATTAGCCTTGCACCAAAATGGTTTATACACAAATGCAAAAAAATCTGATTTATGACTTAAAATACTTCCAATTACTATATGCAATTAAGAGTGGTAATTTAAACAACTAAAAAACTTACCAAAATTCCTGAGTGAGATGGTTGGATTTGATAATAAAGATTGATTGTACCAGACAGTCTGAGAATCTCCTAAGTAATACAGAAAAATGTTTTGTATATTTAATATAGCCAGGTTAGAAACAAAATGAAATAGGATTTCTATGTTTCTTATTATTATAACTGCACAAAATGAATTATGTAACAACTAAGTTTAAAAATGAATTATATTAATATTTTGTATGTCCTGTATCTTGAATTATAACTCCTGAATTAATTATTATCACAGTTATTTAACAGTGATTTGCAAAGCAGCTCATTATTATTAAATTATAACTGCCAACTGTTTATTTTACACACTATTGAAATAAGCTAATATTATATGATAAAATGTTATTGTTATTGGGCAAACAACCCTAAGGAGGAGATATACTGATTCACTGACTATCTATCAAAACATGTTAATATACTGTACAAAAAAACTAAAGGAATACATGGTATTCCATGGGACACTGCCAACATTATCTATTAAGATTTGATCAATATCATATGAAATGACTAAAATGTATTCTTACTAACTAAGCAAACAAGAGAGTTCTAGTTTAGTAATAATATACAATATATTACATTACAGTAAGACAATAATTTAAGTCTCATTTATTTTCACTGGCCCACCATGACTGGGTTACCAGTAAGAAGAGTGTACAAGATCACTTCAACTATATTCTATTCATCATATGCTGTTAATGATGAGGCCTGTTGTTCAGTTTCAGAATTCAACATGTCACTGAAAACGTGACTTTGTCTGTTGTAGATAGAGTTGATAATATTTCTATATGCATTGATGTCCCCCTAGAACCATCTTGCTGACTTCAGTTTGGAAACTACCATCTTAAATTACTCACAATAATGACTAATTTACATCTGCTGCCAACATTAATGACCCAAGGCCACTATGAACTAAAAAGAAATTCAAAAAATAGTTTACAGGAAAATAATAATGTGGCCAATGTAATGAAAAGTTTCTTGTGTTTATTTTAACACTGATTATTTAAATATAGAAAGAAAAATAGCTGTACAGTGCATCATCAATGCTCTATTGGTCATTAGAAAATATTTCTGACACAAATATTTATATTGTTAAAAATTGCAATTTAACAACTTTTAAGTAACTGAGGTACTATTTACACTGTACAACCATAGCTAAACAAATTTGTACATTTTTAAAACTTGCAAAGTGACCATCCTTACCTTCAAGAAATGTTTGGACAGATGATTAAAGATAGGATTTATAACAAAGTGGTGAAGATGAGAATGTTCTTGAGGTGTTAATTGTTCATAAAGACAAAAACTATCAATGTCATAGTGAGCACGTAGAAACTCACTGTCTTCTTCAAAGCCTATAATTCCTATGCCTACAACATCAGAATAACTCTTCGCCACAAAAGCTTGAATTTGTTTTCTTTCCTATAGTAAGGCAAAAACAAAACATAATACAATTGCTTATATAAAAGTGGTACTAAATTATATTTCCTACCATTTAATGTTATGTCAATGTATACAAGTTCAAACTTGATTATTTTTAATTGATACATCTAATATACAAATTGAAAATTTTATTAATTACAACGAAGTAATACCCACCATGATGACTAATTTCCATCTGCTAAGCTGTTGAAATGCCACATAAACCTAACTAGATCTTTTCCTGAGAACTACAGTGATTAGACTATGAGCACAATAATATTTCATTAATAGTTCCCCAATTTTATTTTTATAAAAAGTGAATGTTGATGCTAATTCATCTATATGGATATGAATTTCCTGCTTCTGTGCTTATAAATTCCCATACAACGGCAATGATTATTTTCTCATAGCAATTTCCTATAGGACACAGTAATGCTTTTTGGTTATCTGTCTTAAAAATACCCTTATCCTACACAAAAAATAATTAAGATAAGTCATCAAATGTTTTTTTTTCTTACATGTCATTAAGTCATGGCAAGATGTTTATTAATAAATATGAAATTTATATACTACAATGCACTTTTAAGATTGCATAGCAAATGTTTTATCAACAATAAACTGTTAATGTTAAGCAAAACTATGGAGCGTTCCTATCAGGACTGCCACCAGGGAGCCAGGGCTTTGCACAAACAGTTTAGATTCTAGCTGTGCCACCTTCTCCAGTTTCAGATTCCAAATTGATATAAAACAAATCTATGATAAGTACAAATAAAAAATTAATTTAAAGCTAAACATGATAATAATAATTAGTTCAAATGTTTCTAATGCCTTAATAATAATAACAGTAATTAAGGAAATAAATAATGGAAAACTACATTAGTGTGAAATGTTCACACTAATGCACTGTCTTACGATTTATTCATTAATGTACAGTGATGTGTAAAAGCATTGAATACGAGTTAACTGTTTTCAGTTATCATTTCCAAAATATGTCCCATACACACACACACACACATTAAATAAGTGGGTGCCTCACACAGCACACATGCTGCTGCCCGGATTGGTTACTATGTATGAGAATATTAAAAGAACAAACAAAGTAAAATTCATAAACAATTTTCCACATACTGTTTAAGTGTTTTTTTGTTTTTTTTATGCAATCTTTCAACTTCAGTGATAGAGTCTTCATGGGGCACAATTTAGTCAGCACAGGCCAACTGCAAATAAATTCTTAACAATGTGTGGATCACACATATATGCATTACATTTAATTTAATTTATGATTCCATGTTCATTATGAGTTTAAAACATCATTTGTTATTTGAAATACAGCACTCAGTTCAACATCTCAAGAGTTTTAATTGATGAATAAATCAATATGTAAGCTTAATTACTAAATACAAATATCAGCAGCATATGAAGTCAAGTTATGTTTAGGAATTAAAGGACTATTGTAATTTGGTATATAGTTACTGGATGCCATCAATTCTATTAATGTAAGCAGATCTTGTGAGAACTTATAAAAGAGAAAGGTCTGAAAAAATGAAACAGAAATGTCTTTAGATGAAATGACAAATACCATTAAAAGTAATGATGTATTAAGTTGACTAGAAGATGTGATAATATATTGTGACATGGAAATCTTTCACTGTTGAACAACAATTCAGATAGGTCTTAAAAGGTCTACTGTATATAAACTAAAAACTGGGAAGCTTCAAATTAGATGCAGATAAAATTAAAAGCTGTATTTATAATATTTGGGCCACTCTATGCACACAAAACAGCATAGCCACAATAATACTATATATATGAGAAAATTAACTCTGGCATACAGCATATAAATTTGAAAGCATATTTGGAATGATAGTTATCATGGGAAATATAACCAGTGAGTATAAAATCATGTTTATGTAAATGAAATACTCTAAAAATAGTGCAAGAAAGTCAAAGCACAGGGCTTAACTGACAAACAGATGAAAAAAATATGGTAAGAAAAATAATGGATTACGGGTTACACCCACACTTTAAGTTGTATTAAAAACTTCTCCTAAAACTTAAATCGTAAAGTTAGGAAAATTCTTTTGTTTATATTGCAATGCATATCAACTGATTTTTAATCAGTAAGTGTCCTGCATCATTTTACAGTCTTGAAGAAAGAATTAAAAATAAAATTATAGTTAAACTTAAATCGTAAAGTTAGCAAAATTCTTTTGTTTATATTGCAATGCATATCAACTGATTTTTAATCAGTAAGTGTCCTGCATCATTTTACAGTCTTGAAGAAAGAATTAAAAATAAAATTATAGTTAAACTAGTACCGTATTTTCCTTTGTATAAGTCATTATTTTTTTCCCAGAGAATTTTATGTGCGACTTATTTATGACTTTTTCTATGGTGCAGTGATTGTCCATATTAATGGTAGAGTTCTGGCTAATGATATGTTACCTTCTTTATCTGAAAAGTAGTCCATTTTTTCACTGACATAAGGGAAGATTTCTGCCTTCCTGAACCCAATCAAGATGCATGATACACTAACAGCATTCCATGACTCCATTATTCAGTAACATCAGTTAGTGTAGCTCTTTTGAGTCTGCCAGTATTTGTAAACAAATGTTCCCCTGTCAATATCCATTCTTCCCAATGAGTACACATTCCAGCTTTAAAAGTATGATTAACAATGACGTCTAAAGGCTTTAACAGTTTGGTAAGTCCACCAGGTATAATTGAAGATGTTGTGTTTTTGGTCTCTAGTAGATCCTTGATGTCTTAAGTGATTTAGGCCCTCATGCTGTCCATGACCAATAGTGCACGATTTTGGTGGAAGAAGCCATCTAGTTCAAAGAATATGCAGCAAAATTCAAATACAGTAATTTTATATTTTCTTATCATAGTGCAGCCTTAGCATTCTGAAAAGTTTTTTGACTGAACCTTCCAAGACCAAACAAGTCGCTGTCACTCAGGATGTGCACAGCTTATTACTGTATAAGTGTGCACAGCACTTGATGGACTGTTGTGTAGCTGTGCAGGCATGCAACTTAGAGGGAACATGGCTTACTGGTACAAAGTATGTCATTCAATTTGTTACCAGGAACCAGGAATTTACAATAACTCAATATTTTACAGGAAATATTGTGTAAGAAAAACATATTGGGTAAATAAATTAACTTTTCAGGCAAAGGTGTGACCTATATAGAGATGCGACTTATGTTTGTACAAAAACTAGAAAATTCCTAAAAATCAGCCTTGTGACTAATAGAAGAGTGTGACTTATAATAAGGAAAATACAGTAATACTAAATTATGATAAGTTTACAATTATAAATATAAGGTCTGCAAATGTAACACACCCCACTTTCTTTAACATAGTAACAAAATAATTACATTTTGCTAGGTAAGAAACTGACAAATTGTGTAACTCAAGTGTGAAATTAACCCAGTACTACTCTCTGTGGCAAAACTCAAAGATGATATGTAATATTTCATCATTCTGAGTGTGAGGCTATTCTATGACAGTTACATAAAGTGGAAAATACATCCAAATTCTTACATTATTTTACTTTATTGTTCATTTATAGACATAATTAATTAATTTAATATATATATATTGTGAATGAGGTGCTGTTGAATTATAATCATTGTTATTCTCCTTTGTTCTTAAATGTGTCACTGGAAAGCAGTTCAACCAGCCTCAGATGTTGTTTTATGTCGATACAGGTAATTTTCATAATTCCCATCTTCACAGTTCCTACCTTTCATAGCTAGACTTTGTACTTGTCAGTACAGAGGTAGTAGCTGGTATGTGTCTTTCATTCCACCAGTGTTTCTCTCTCATGCTCTTAGTAACATACTGTCCAAGAGGTGTCTCTACACTCAGGTAAAAACAGAAAGCCATATTGAGCTAGAGATTAGGTCAGGGTGCAGTTAAAATGCTCGTGATATCCAAAATGTAGAAAATATAGACTCAGAAATTTGATACCATATTGAACTCTACACCTGCATAAGTTGTAACGATGTTATTAAGGTTCTCTGATACCTTTAACTAGTAATATAACTTTAATATATGAATATACCATGAGTTTCAATCTTCTTGTAATATTATAGTATATATTATGTATATGTACAGGTTTCATATAACATGTTGTTAGGTTTTGTGTATGGGCCACATTCTTTACAGTAGGTGTCTGTGACTTGTTGGCAATAAATTTCAACAATAAAGAAAGAGCACAGAGTCCACCTGTTTTAAAATAATACATTAAAACAAGTCAAACCTATACACAAATGTTCATTACACTGTTGGTTTCCACAGTTGTATTTAGATCTTTAAATAATTGTCTCTTCTTTCATCAAAGTCCACACAGGTTGGTTAAGTTACTTTAGAACACAACTGATAAGATAAATTATTTCTTCTCTACTCTGTTATTACAATACAATCTGTGACAATTTCACTTTAGAAATCACCACTACACACTCATTATGGCTATACTCACAGTCACACAGTCTAGATCTAGCTATCTAACTAACTCGAACTACATTATGGATGCGTATTTATACCCTGACAGAGGTCTAGAATGTTCCACACACTATTAGATATTATGATGTAATGATAGTCAATTAAAACAAGAGAAAAACTCAGAAGGTTCTAGTAACATGATGCAGTAATACAACAATTACCAATTCATACCTATTTAATTACACAATGTATGATTTGCAAATAGTTACATAAACAAATTGTGATAAACTATCACTTCTAAAATAACAAAATTTAACACTCACGCTAATTAACTATCTAAATCATGACCCTCACATTAAACAGAAAAGTCATGTATATCTAACATATGTGGTCAAGAAAGCTGTTAAGTTGATTTATCTTTATCTGTCTTTATTGTTCTAGAGTGGATAGGACCTGTTCTGCTCAGGGAAGATATTGCTGCAATACTGGACACTGTGCCAAGATATAGGTAGTAGTGCCTGTCAATGGTCATTCAGATGATATCTAGAGGTTACAGCCTCAACTGTTTTTGAATGAGAACGAACAGGCATGGGGGGGGGGGGGTTGGTACACTAGTTGATCTTGTTAAATGCAAGTTTCTTGTAAACTAAGAAACACTAGATTTAATTCATCAGCCTAGAACATGATATTGAATAAGAAATGACTTATAGAGAGAATCCAGTAAAAGCAACAGTCCATTGTTCCATAAAAGCAATTACAGACACCATGTTTGTGTTTCGTGATTGTTGTAATAAAGATTGTAGATTTCATATTTCACTCTGTGTCCAATCTCATTATTCCATTCAACAGCACATTCCAGTTTTCTAGAGATTTAGCATTAATTCATAATTGGTAACTTGACTAACTCTCCTGTAATTAAGCAAACCTATAGTACTGCTCAAAATTTAACTGAATATATCACAAAGTGGATAGAAAGGAAAAAAATTCCACATAACCATAGGAGGTTACATGTTTCTGTAATATGTTTACCGATCTGTGAAGATTGTGTTTCAGTTTGCTGGATATCAACCAAGTTAAATGTTGATCACTTTGTTACACTTCTCTACTTTTTTGCATTATCACGATAACCATCCATTCATCAGTGGAATTTTCAATTCATATGGTTTATCACCACAGCTGAGCCTTCAGCTTTCACAGCAGTATGATACTCCAAATTCTGACATATCCCAAAAAGAGCAAACAGTCCTTGTCTGCCAGTGAAAAAGTTCTTATTTACATCCATGCTGCTGGCGCAATTGATATTCCATTATGAAGCATCAGTTTGAGAAAGGAGATAGCAGATAGGTATTTTAAACACTGGACTGGACCTTATTTTGTGCTACATTGACTCAATCTGTCAAATTACAAAATTCAGCTGTCTTGGGGCACTATAAAAACACAGAGAACAGTTGAAAAACTGAAATCTTATATCCCTAATGAACATTCAAAACACTGGCCAAACCAGAATACAGAGAGTGAAAGAGCTTAAACTGCAGATAATGATAAGTGCAGTGTCAAATACTACCCTAACCCGATGAAGGAAAAGAAGATAATATTAAATATTTCCTGGCTGTTGATGATAAACCAAAGGAAGGGAACAGAATACTAAGCAATTAATTATATGTTATTTGCACACCATACTTTCCAAGATACCTGGTAAAATGACGTGATATTTCTACAGTGCAGCCTACTTAAGATTTGCTAATTTTCTATTCACATAACAATGAGTTATGATAGCTAAATAATCTAGAATATCTGAAACTGGCACACTGTTACTGATGCGTAGAATACTTAGAACATCACTAAAGCTGTGGAAAATACAATTTTTATAATATTTTCTGACAGAAACATAGTAATTCATATAGAACTTATGCCATGGAGAACTTATAACTAATTCTATGTGAAAACCACTTATAAGTATAGAGAAGTAAACCTATAAGCATAGAAATCTAGATAAATGTGATGTGAAGATAGGGTTGATGAGGAAAGAAACCTGTATGTGGAGAGATTGTTGTGATAACAGAATAAAAACATGTTAAATACCTTAAACTTGAAAGGGAATTTGTCAAAAGTAAAATGTGACAGTAATGATATGTTTATGCAGTACAGCTAGTTATTGAGAGACCACAAATTATTCATACATACAACATTTGTAAAATAGTTTAGTTCCATCCAAGACTAGAGATGGACAATTAACTCATTTAACAAATATAATTGTAAGCACTGACTTGTGTGATGTAAAGTAATCAGTTAATTGAAATTACAATTAAATTCATTAATTTTAAAAAATAATCAACTAACCAAAATAAGATTAAATACTGCTAAGTGAAACAAAACTGATGGACAAAAATGCAGCATGGCTCATATTAACTCTTTCTCTCTCAAAGAAATCACCAAACTGCTATAACAGCTCATTATACTCTAAAGATGACAAATCACAAAATGGAATTCTACTGATCCATGTGATAGTCATAAAATAGCTTCACATTTGGTGTGAATTTGGTGCAACACATCTATCCCATGAAATACAAAATAGCATCTTTGATCAACTCATGCCACAGAAAGCAACACCTAGGGCTGAATTAGCACATTATCTAGTCTGGATTTATCAAGTTCTTAATTATAACTCTTCAAAAATTAAATAGTATGATATGAAATACACATTATAGAAAAGTGAGATATATGATAGGTTCATACCACAAATGCACAAAGGATGATTATGAAGAAAATCCCATATTTAAAATGATTATATTGTAAAAGCTATTTGCAACTAAATTTCCCCAGAAGTACAATGAGAAATGTAACTTTTACTCAAGAAAGTTTGGACACAGTAAAAAAGTGCTTTAAAAACCATCACAAAATGTTCAATATGTCTTCCCATTATTACTGATCAGGAAACCAAATCTATCCCTAAACAAAACTACTGTAAGTATCATCTGTTTTAGTCAGTGCTCATTGATCCTCATAATATCCTGCAAACTGATATGTTTTATTATAATTACCAGTCTTTTATTGTTGAAAGTGAGGAAAGAGAAATAAAACAATGTTGGTTTGCTATAAAGACAATTCAGTAATTTTCATCAGTATTCTTTATAGTCACCCTGTATTTATATTAATAAATAATTACTTGATGATACACATCAAACAGTGACAAAATATTTGTGAAATGTTAATGTCAATCTCATACCTGATTTTATAAGTGCATAAAAGAGAAGCCTGAAATTAATTAAAATATTTTTTGTGTTAACTTTGAAAATTTAAAAAAAGACTTATTATAAATTTCTTTTTAGAACTATAAAACCAAAATAAATAACTATGCTTTTAAAATCATTCAATAATTTATAGTAAACTGAAGCTATTAATCCAGTAGATGAAGTTTGCAAGTTGACCAGAAAGAGCTGTAAGGAGAGCTAAACTAAAATTTTCCAGTATATTTTCACTAATCTTATGATATAATTAATAAACTTACATCATTTTTAACACTTTTGTTAATTTCATTTAATTCCTAGATTTACAATATAAATGTCTGCTGGATGGTCAGCAAATGACAGTACAGCATAAAAATGTGAAGTAGCCAAAAATCATTTTGTTACAGGGTAATGAGTAAACACTATCCTCAACAGTTGGTGTTACATTACAATGATTACTGCCTAAAGTGGAAAAGACCTAAGCATTTACATTAATTTACCTTCTTTTGAGAAAAATGAAGACACTGCTTTACATCTTCCAGCATGTTTAAGGAATGATCAAACTTTCCTAAAAACATGGAAACATCATGAAAATCTTCCTCTTTCACTTTTTCAACAGTAAAATCCCTGTAAACAATTCATAATGTTTATGATATGTTTCACATATTTTTCAAAAGTATATAATACCCAAATGAAGTTTAATATTTTCTCAGTTATATAAGTAGAAAATGTTTACAGAGAATCAAACTGACTTGAAAAACTTAATACCTTGTAAGCAAATTCATTTATCAGTTTTAATGAATCAAAGATCTGATTCAAGTTTCTCTAAACGTTTCCAACAGTATACTGTTACTAAACAGGAATGTGAAATCTAATTAAAGAATACATGAACATGTACAACACTAATTAGATGAAGATATGGATATTTTTATCGTTGCTCACAGAGCCACTAGATATAAACACATACAAGAATATAAAGTAGTTTTTGTTAAATTGTTTCCTAACTCAGCACACACACAAATATACATACAATCACAAGTGTACTTGTGTAGATGTAAACAGAAATAGTGAGACTAGACAAAAGTAATACACAAAATAAACTGTCTTTATCAATACTATAAATGATAACATAATGTGTATACTTGCAGAGCACTTACAATGAACAATTGTTTTAGATGGCATTTTTCAGATTGACTTTATCAAGACCAATTTCTAAACTAGACCAACTAGTTGAAGAAGTTTCAGGCTCACTAAATGCCAGGTTCCACAGAGCAACATACATGTATTATCCAGAAAACTAGTCATTTTATTCCCATACAAACATATTTACTAAGTTAACAGTTAATGCAATTGTAGCCTCTAAATATCACCTAAACAACCACCGAAGGACACTACTGTTGACATGGCTACACAACATTGTATCAAGCAATGTTCTCCATAGGCAGTAAGAGGTAATACCCACTTCAAGAACAACAAAGATCAACTTAATAGTATTTTTGACCATGTATTATGTGAAATCTGCCCATAATTAGAACAAAGAATAAATTCAAAATAAATATTATAATGTCAGAAGAAAAAGAAACCTATAGTATATTCATATATCACTAACCAGCCTAAACTCTTCCACCAAGGTTTTACATAAAATGTTTTTATATGTACTTGAGTCAACATATTAAATTTCAATTTCTAGTTCATTATTTTCTATAAGCATATCAATCCAAGATATAATTTTATTCTGAATTTATTCCCATACAAACATATTTACTAAGTTAACAGTTAATGCAATTGTAGACAGGCAGTATAAAAACAAAACTAAAATTAATCAATAATTTTAGTAATACATTTATTAAATATTTAACTGAATGATGAAATGAGCTTTTAGAAAATTGTAGTCACTTTAAAAGATAAATAAATTGAAAAATAAAATTCTAATACAAGAAACCTTGTTGCACAGTCTAGCAAAACTTATACTTATAGCACTTATTCCATATTACATGCATATTCCTTTGTACTAACAAGTTTGTTTATTAGCTATTTCCTGCACTTAAATTTTTCTAAACATATATATATACACAAATAAAGTAATCATAATTTATTTTCTGTACAAATTAAAACAAAAATAAGAGTTAATATTAGAACAAAACTCACCTAAGAAGGCCAGCACGGTGAAAGACATATAAAACTTGTGAAAACACTGAAGTTGGATAAGGTGGAATTCTCTAGAAGTTAGAAAACTGTGTTGCAAATTATAGCTATTAAGTATTAATTTCTCATATTATTTTTATACATTTCACAAGTTTAACATTGAAAAAATGATTTATTCTATAATCCATTTCTAAAACAATGAAAGCTTTGCACAGTAAAATATAATCTGAAAATAAAAACATAAAGCAAAAGAACTAATCTAGATTTTGTTTAGTTATCTTTCATAAAAGATAACTATATCACCCACCTAATTATCATTTTATAGCATATCTCTTCTGTGAATAATCTGAAGTAATGACAACCAAGAATGTTTAATTTCAATATGTTTGTTTTTGTCAAGCATAAAGTACACAATGAATTATCTTTGTGTTGTGCCCAAAATTTAATAAGAAAATTTATTATTTGCTAATGTTAAGCCTGTGTGATAGGCTTCATAGATGGGTTGTAATATGTATGATCAATCATATGTGTATAAAAAAACATTAACAAAACTGTTTCTATGGTTAAAAAAATTTATAACTCTTCAAATAGATTACCTTAAAAGGTCAAGCACATTTTCAAATAGAAAAAATTAGTTTGGGTACTGAACGTTTTGAGGTATAAAAATTAACAAATTAGTACTTTTGGTTTTCAAAGTTTTTTTTATTTACATAAATTATCAAATTAGTAGTACCAAAATATACATGTTATTAAAATGAATGCTGCAGACCAGAGAAATGCATACAAATCTAACAAATGTTCATGTTATTTTCAAACTGTTTCTATCTAATTTAAAGTCAGTGATAAGTATCCCAACTAAAAAATTATTTTCATATTGTGGACTTTAAATAATGTATTTGTAAAACTTATAAGGAAGATAATACAGTTACTTTTTATATTTTAAAATCATTAAATAGTTTTTCCCTAATTTCTATTTGAGGTATGCAATTTGATTGGAATTTGCCTAATTTTCTACTTCTTGGTTCATTGCATACAAAAGTAATACACCTAAATTAAATTAATCTTACAAACAAATATATAATTTTAATAACAAAAAAAAACCAAAACTAGGAAGTAAATCTTTCCTTGTTGTTTCTCCATCTTTCTGATGATAAATATGATATATTTGATACTTCTTATACCAGATTAATTTTTTTTTTCTTGTGCATATGCTTGATTAACAACCACACAGAAGGTTATTTTTATGCTCCACACACACACACTGATACTGTAAATACTATGATTTTCCATAAGCAGACTAAGTTTTTAATGTAGCAACTAAAAAAGAAGTAAAATGTTTGAGATTTCACTAAGAAAGAAAAAATTTTCAAACAAGTAATTAAGCAGTTTACAAACTTACTGTGAAGAAGTTAAGTAATGGAAATTCTGGTGTGAGATGAGGAACAGTGATTATACAATATTCAACTTCAGGAAACATTTCAAAAACTTTAGAAAGAAAATCTAAAGACCTACAAAGATCAAGAAAATTATGTAAATAATAACCGAACTCTTAGCAATTGGAACATTACCAATAGAAAGAAACTGCTGTTTAATACCTTATTTTAAAACTTTTAATCTTAATTATGCTTTTTTTATTTAATTTTCCAGAAACACACACACAAGAACAGGATATAGCTTTTTGTCTGGATAGCCAGATGAATAGTCAAAGTTATTTGTCCAGTTTACTGGAAATTAACATTTTCTAACATTGAAATGTATTTCCGATAAGCAATTACCTCTCATCACCCAAAGCTACCTCAACCTTCATTTGCCTTCATTTGCTAAACTTTTTAAAAGCGCACCATTCTTTTATACCCCTATCTTTTTTTGCGTCATTGCAGAAACATGTGCTGATTATGTGACCACCAATCCCATTGAGCCCTCTATACTGGCACAGGTTGTTCCTTCTATCCTTGCAGCACAAGGGTAGAAGGAGAAAGTATGGTGGAGAAAGTGATGATTGTACCTGCACTAGTATATAGGGTGCAATGGGATTGGTGGAGGGTGGTCACATGATTAGCACATGTTGCTGCAATGATGCAGAAAATATTGGGGTATAAAAAACTGGCGTGCTTTTAAAAGTTTATCAATGCTTAGATGGTAAATAAAGGTCGAGACAGCTATGAGGGAGAGGACGTAGTGCCATTTTGTAAAAATATTGAACAGCCCATTTGTCTATTGAAAAAATATGAAATAAAGGAATAAAACTGGATTTTTTTTAATTATTAATAAAAAAGTTCCATTTTATATATATCCAGTTATGTTTAATTTGTCTTATTTTCATCAATTATTTATATTTGTTACTTATCTTTATCTACTGAAGCAATTATGTAACCATGAAATTAGCATAATACACTGATGAACAGTGAAATCATTGACTGGTATAGATGTAACTTACACTCATACCCTAGACCTACACTGATATAAGTGATATTTTTCCAACTATGTTTTTAGTTAAGCTCAATTTATATCTAATAATTATTATCTCTTTTCAATAAATAAAGGGTTCTTATACTTGTATGCATTGTTTAAGTAATAATAAATTTAATAATACACACAAATAAGTAAGCTTTTCTTTCATCTGAATAATTTGCAGTCACAGAACTCTTAGCTTACCTTATTCATTAACCATAAATTACTTACCTTATGTCTTCTCATATACGAATATTGTTGTAGTTGTAAAACAGAGAAAATTGCAGTGCACCTCTGATTTCTTTTGTAATTCCTCTTTTTCTTACCAATTCAACTGTCTTTAATTCTCTTTTGTAGAATTCACATCTTAGTTTGTAGCTCATACTGATGAATTTTATCTAATTCATCAAATGATTGAAATGTACCCCCCCCCAATACAAAGTGTAACATTTTCAGCCACTTTTTATTCATCCCCATGCTTTTTGTGATGTCCTGATGCTGATGTAATTGCTGGACATTAGCTCTCAGGCTGTTTGTCTGAATAGTCAGACATATAACTACTTCACAGAAGTAATGAAATACAGAATAAAATGAAGGACATTCTTGTTATAAAAAATTTCAAATAATTTGATTAGATTATTTTGAACTTTTTCAGACCTCATAAATTTCTTTTAGTTATATAATTTCACTCTAATATAATTACAGTGAAAGTTCTTTTAGTGCGCATTACTTTTGCTTATAAAATTATGCATTGATCTTTACTAGTGACAGTACTAAAGTAAATACAAAACATACACAGCTTTGTTCACCCCATTAGTTCCATCACACACAAACTGTAATAATTATCTTCAACCTATGAGTAATATTATAATGTACAGTATTTTGTGACTTGAAGCCTTATCTAAGATCTAAAATCTTACTTCTTTCAAATGTGTACCTTAATAATCAAATAATAAAGATGCATTACAAAACTGGAACATTAGATGTTCTAACTTAAAATGTTAAGATATATAAAAACACTGACTAATTAGTTTTATATTTTTAAAGACAGAGAGAGAAAAAAACTGTGGAAAATATTACTCATTTGAGACAACATGGTATTACATTTTGAGAGGCACTCTTGCAGTTTCATGTGTTATTCTGGGGATCAGTTATTATTACACTGATGAGTGTCAAACACTGGAGAATGAGAGCATTAAAAAAGTTCTCAACTATTCAATCACTCCAGTAGATTTGTTGTACCTGTGCATTTAAAAAGCAATGAAATGCTTCAAACCATGATATTTACCTCATGATAAACACGGTTGGCATATTGTGTTTTGCTACCCTTGCAAATGCTGACTGTGCTGCCCATCCACCCACTCTTCCACCATTATAGAAATTTTATATAATTATGTCCCCAAGAACCTGCTGCCCTGTGCAAATGCACCCACTGTCACATCAGCCTTGATAATAACTAATTAAAAAATGATATACTTGGGTTCATAATAAATTTGGATGTGCACTGAAATTTTATGAAGAACAGTTTCTCTACAATTAATTGATTGATAACTCACCTTGTTTCATACATTTTGTCAATACAAAATAGCTGAACACACACTGCACTAGGATCTCCTTTATATGAAGGTACATTATTTTGTAGTTGAACAGGTATCACTGGTTTAGGGTGTTGAATTACCTATAAACAACATAAATTATTTTAAATGCTTTAAAATGTATTATAACCATTTTTGTAGTAATATTCTGCAGAGGTTTTAATAATTTTTAGAACAATGAAATTATGAGACTGTATTAAAGCTTGTAAAAATTACTACAATTATCTGACACAATAATCATAAATACATCATTATAAAAAACTATTCCAGTAATGATTAAGTAGCTTTTATATGTTCCTAAACAATGGAAAAGACAAATACCGTGTATATTATGACTATTATCTTATGGTAATCACTTACACAGGTAGGTGTCAAACACTGAAGAATAAGAGCATTAAAAAAAATGTCCTCAACTGTTTAAACACTTCAGTAGATTTGTGTCTGACATAACTTATTTTAAAGATTTTGTTAATACAAAATAGATGAACCCACATCACATCAATGACAAGACGAATATAAAATAAAAAGATTGGTTAGCAGACGAAGAACAATGACAGTGCATTACAGCACAGGTCAGTCTAAATTCTCTCTATCAAAGATGGAACAAATCTCTCTGAATGTGCTAAAACCTATTCCCACAATTCACATTAACTACATAGTTGACCAATCAAAATTATATTTCTCCAAGTAACAGTCATAACAGTGAATTAACTTATTCATGAGGCAATGTTGGGCCAATACTACAATCCCATGTAGTATCAGATTAAACCATAGGCCATGGAGTTTACAACTTAGAAATTATTAACAAATTACCTACCCCCTAAATTTCCTAGGTCAAGAACTAGAACTCTCAATAAACCAAAATATTTTGTTGCTATATTAAAGATATTCTAAAGGAGAATGATATGAAACTCAGTGAGAATAAACTTCAATCCAATGCTGGCAGAGCCAGATATGTGTGCATATTTGAATGCCACAATAGTACATTCAGAGCTCTTAAAAATATTATATATTGAAATTAACATAGAAAAGATGCCTTTCATTTGAAATGTCACAAAAACAGAAAAAACTTCCAAACTAAACATTTAGCTAATTAATTTGAAAATTTTCCTATCAAATACAATGCTTGACAGTAATGGATTTCCTTTTGCCCCGAGTAAGTGAAAGTCTAATTTGGCAAAGTAGTTCCAAACATGAATCTGATCAGAAAAGTGAAGAAAAAAATATTACTTTAGTTTACCTGCTCAGTATTAGCTGATAGTTGTTTTATGTTTTTTAATAAAATACTTGTAAAACATTTTACAATAAATTAATACTTCTGATACTATAAGTTTGTTTGTGTTACTTCATTTGAACATCACTCTGCATATCATTGGCTTTAAAACAAAATATGTTCTTTAATTGGCATGCCATTAATAGTTCTGCATGTGATTCTTTCAAATTAAATATGTTCTTTTATCAGCATGAAGTAAATATTCTGTATTTCATGCAGTAATGTAAATTACTGTCATTTAAGAGAAATATTTTTATATATGCATAGTGTTTTGATCGGTACTAAACTATCCTTAATTAATTGTAATTATCTTAAGATACTGTTTTTGCAGAGATGCAATTCAATATAATTATGGCAAATGCTTATTTCTAAATGATTACTTCAATGAATGAAATGTTAATTTTGAATAAATAAGTCAAAGCATTTTGCTATTTGTTTTTGTCACTTGTATATGACAACAGAGTATTTAAGTTTTTATTTAAACCAACAGAATTTCTTATCTTTTAAATTATTATGACATTATAATATACCACAATATAAAAATATGTAGGGCAAGTACAAATCAAAATCGGCCAAGTTAAAAAATAATGGCCTACATGCCCCACAAGACAAATTGCCTTAAAAAGTGGCTTCATACTTTGAAATACTAAGTGGTAGTTTTCTAACCATTCCTACATAACCAGACCCACACTTATACAAGGCCACATGCACGTGAGTCTCCTGGTCAATACCAAAGTTCTGGATACTATCAGGCAGCTAATGTTATTTGTTTACAAAGAGACAAAATGGATGATGATTGCTCATGACAATAAAACAGCCATGTTGTTTTCCTGAATGCACATTTGGCTATTTGAGTAATATCTTGTAACTAAGTGATGCATATTTGTATTACAACTAAATTGGTACAGTCATTTGCATTATCATTTTTAAAAGAAAAAACAAACATATAATGAAGATCACTGCTCATTTAGTTGAGACTTTACTAACTACAAAGGTATAGTGGTAAGCATTATGTAAATGAATAAGCTTGCTTCTTATATTCCTATTTCTTCTTTTTTTACTACATCCACTTTTAAGAATATATTATCCTTTAATGGTATTGAAAACAAAGGCAGTAGATGAAAAGTAGTTTGACAATTTGGCACCAATTTTTAAATTTTTTCTCCACTTATTTTAATAACAAGCATCTGTTTAATTAATTGTTGTTGTTTGTTATTAAGCACAAAGCTACACAAAGGGCTATCTGTGCTCTGCCCACCACGGGTATCAAAACTCGGTTTTATACAGCTGAATGACACTTATCAGGTAATTATTTTTCGTTTTCAGCATTCAAGCACAATATCAAAAGAAAAGTAGGTTGATTTGGGTCCATTAAAATAATTATATAAAAAAACTTATTAATTAAATGGCCCCCAGGGGCACAGTGGTATGTCTGCAGACTTATAGCACTATATGGTTTCCAGAGATCACATCAGCCAAGGAAGCCTTTAAGAAATGCTTGCTATAGATCCAGAATGCCTGAATGAGACTTATGTACTATAACGCAAATTATAAAATCAAATTTTAAGACAGTATTATTATTATTATTATAAGAGATTGAAACAAACAACCATTCTTATTATTAAGAATCATAATTTGTTAAAATATTAATACTGTTCTTCCATAAAAGAAAAACAAAAACATCCTTTTGAGTTATATACTGCTGCATATATGAGTTTTGAGATTACACTCTTAATTTTGAATTTCCTCTTACTTCCACCAGTCATGACAAAAAATATTAGAAATTTCATTTTGGCCGAATAGTAGTGAGATGAAACCTTATATTTATGGGTAATTAATTATTCAATTTACATGTATGTCCAATTTGATACACTTAAGAGCACTATTATGAAAACAAATGCCGCCAATGATTTTGTAACTGGTTGTTGTGCCTCTTTAAGACTTAAAGCTATTGTTTTTAATATATCTGTGCAATACTTGAACACAAAATGTACCACATTTTTAATAATACATTTAAACTTATCAACAATGGGTGGGTCTTACTAATTAATTACCAGTTGACCTTACTCACTGAGAAAGAACTACCAATAGGTAAAGGGTTAAAATAATCACACACATTATGTAATTCAGATAATTCCAAGTTAATGAGTCAAAACGTCTCAATGAAACTAGAGATTTAGATCCAATATCATTACAGCAGTTTCTATTTAAACTTCTTTTGTTGTTTTCATATGCCTCCTGATAAACCAATCATTTTCATCACATCCTGGCTTACATAATTCAAAAATGACTGAAATAAGATTAAACAGCTGAGGTTCATCTTCCATAAATCAGACATTCACAGTAACTGTAATTAGAAAATTTTATACAAAGTTGTTGAGCAGCCATTAAGAACTGTAATTAAACATATTTTTAAAATTTTCTTAGTTCTCTGTAGTGATTTTATTGGCAGCTTTTAGATGTATAATCAGTAACTGGAGTTTACAAGAGAGTTGGAAAAAAAAATCACTTCCTTTAGTATTCAAATCACGCTATTTAACATCCAAACTTTTGTGAGATTTTTCCTTTTATTCCAAGAGTTTATGCTGATCAGTATCGTCAAAATCTGGATACTGTTAAACTAATTAACAAAAATTGCTTTTAATAAAACAACTACAAGCTTTTTATTTCAACACCAAAGGAAATGGAGTTTGAAGGTCCTGATAATTGTGTTTCATGAACTGGCTCAAAAACACTGACTATATATTAGGGTTGTTTAAGAAAATATTTTCTACAAAAGTAACATACCTAGTACCATTTTCATTCAGCCTACACTTCACAGGAAGCCCTGTCAATATATATCATGTATTCTTAAATTATTCTCCATGTATTTAAACATCAAACATGTATATACATACAGTATAAACAGAATTACAAGGAGTAAAAGCATTAATATTTTACATAACTGATTGGATTGGTAAGTTTGTTTACCTATGAAAATATACCATACATCCAGGCACCTTCACGAAGGAGGTAGAGCAATGTCTCCCAAAATGAGGTCAATCACAAAGAAGCGAAAAGAAATATTTGTGATCCATCAGTTCAGGTCATGTCCTTATATATATTGACTGTTTCTTAATGGTTTTTACAAAAATAAATGTAATTTCAACATAGTTTTTATTTGCCATAAGATTTCCTAGTATTACTTGAAAAGTGCCTATATTTCTGGTATTCACAACTATTACAAAATCTGATCCAGATATCAGCTGGTTTTTAACATATCCACTTCAATCCAATCTACTGATCCAATATTTCACTGAGGTTGCAAGCTTATTGGAAAGCTTGTTTGGGAATAAACCCATTAAATATGTCTCTCGTACTCACAGATTGAATGTTAATATACCTACACCTTTCTAATACTATATGATCAAAGTTCAATTTATATACAACTATATCCATGTAAACTACTAGTCATGCAGTTATTTTTTTTATTCATGAAACCATCATTCCAGTTAATTTGCATTTGTAAATTATCTTACATACATATAACATTAAGCTTCTATTAAAGAATGTATTAAACACATTTACACATTTTCATGAATTTCATTCATAAGACTTTATTTTAGGCAGTGGCTTTATATTGCCTGTTTATCAGAACATTTACAAAATATTTGTAACTAAAATCCAAAATTGATAAATTAAAACAAATGGTGAGTTATGTTTTTGGAGCAACAAAAATTAATTATTTCTTTGAAGATATTTTAGTCAAAAACATGCTGCCTACGTAATAAAAAATTATAAGATGAATAGTGTTTGGTCACAAATAGTTCAGGTTTAGGGGGATGGCCAGACTCTGTTCTTCTTGCACAAAATATGTTAAGTGACCATGTTCAGGCATGTACTACACTTAGCTTATAGTGACAAATAAGTTTCATTAAGCCTTCTTTGGCCATCACTATAGACAAAAGTCAAAAACCCATGGAGGAAATGACTTTATAGAGTTGAGAAACCAGGTCTTGTATTGCACAACATGTATGGCCACTACCATATTTTGTTTGGGAATTCGGATTGAAATACGAGTTTTTACTCTCTCAAAACCTGGAAATTAGTGCGAGTTCAGTCATACTGGTGAGCACTTGGGATTCTAGATATCACAAGGATATCCAGATATCAAATCTCTATTCAGATTTTAAAAATACGAGTACAGGAAAGTAAGCCTGTGACGTATCTCTGTATCAGCTGCCGATACTGATCCGATCTAAAGGATTCTCCGATATATTTCTGATCCAACTTTTAAGAATCTAGTACTGTGTGGACCCTTCTAGACCTCTGTAGGGTATAAATACATGTCAAGTATTTAGTTTGAGAGCCAGATCTAGACTGCGTGATTGTGAGTTTAGCCATAAAGAGTGTATAGTAGCAATTTTTAAAGTGAAATTATCATAGATTGTATTGTAATAACAGAGTAAAGAAGAATAATTCATCTTGTCAAATTGTTTTTTAAATAACTGAACCACCCTGTGTGGACTTTGGTGAAAAAGAGACCATTATTTAAAGCTCTGGATGCAATGTGAAAACCAACACTGTAACAAAGATTTGTATATATGTTTGACTTGTTTAATATATTATTTTAAAACAAGTGAACTTCATTGTTGTTTGTTTATTGTTGAAATTTATTGCCAACAATCACAGACACCTACTGTAAAGAATCTGGCCTATACCTGACAGTGGTGAACCAGCCAGAATCTACAGTGGTAAATGGCAGTAGAAGTAGACATAAACAACAGTGGCAAATAGGCCTATATATGCATAGCTGTATTGGTGTAAAAATTATTGTAGAGGTCACAACCACATTAAAAAAAACATATTGACTGACTTTGATAAGTGGATAGAGAGGGATGAGCAATTTGGGCTCAAAAATGGCAATCTAAGATAGTGTGTGAAACAACAACATGAACTAGAAAGAGAAGAGAGGATGAAAAACAGAAAAGAAGAAAAGGAGAGACTGGAAACAGAAAGAATAAGAGCAACAACTGAGATCTCCAATCTCATCCAATGGAAAGATGGAGGACCCAAGAATGATAATGGAGTCAGGGCCACCCAACTTAAGCTGCTCAAATTTGATGAAAGGAAAGACTACATAGATACTTTCCTGGAGAGATATGAAAGATTTACCCAAAGTCAGAACTGGAACAATGGTGACTGGGCATTCTGTCTCAGCTCACTTCTAACAAGAAAAGGCCTACAAGTGTATTCGGGAATGACATCAGAAGATGCCATGGACTATGATACTCTAAAAGTGGCCTGGCTAAAATATTATGAACTTACCAAAGAAGGTTTTTGCCAGAAGTACAGAGAAATCAAGCCTGACACTGTAAAAACTGTATTTCAATTTGTGGCATGTCTACGGTGATACTTCACAAGATGGACTGACATGGCCAAGCGTAAAAATAGTTTTGAGGGTCTGGCAGATCCACCAATATGTGAACAGTTCATGATCATGTGTTCCACTGACATGTCACTGTTCCTAAAAGAGTAAGCACCAAAGACATGGACAAGATGATCAAGCTGGCAAAATAGTATATGGAAACCCATGGAGGGAGTATAACTGGCAAGTCCAAAAATAACCAGTGAAAGTTGAAACCAAGAATGGCTGACTAGAAGCAGAATGCCACCAAAGGTTACAAGAAGTCAACAGACAAAAGGGAGAAGAGATGCTATACTTGTTATAAAATGGGGCACATTGTGAGTGAGTGCAAGTCTGCCACAAACAAGCAACAGCAGAAATCTCAACATAAAGCAGCTCAAGATACCTCCAAAGATGGTGCTGGCAAGAAACAAGAAAAAGAGTGCCTGTCACCATGGATGCTGCTGCCAGAAGAAACAGAATGAAGACAACTCATCAGATTCACCACAAGAACAAAGTGCTATCACCATGATTAAACAGTGCATGATTGATGGTCAACTCAAGTTAGCAAATGGGACAAAAGTGCCAGTGGAAATCAAAGCATGTGACAAATATTGAGAGGTGCCAAAAAACCACAACATGCCAGTAGGTGAAGGATATGTCAGGGACAAGAAAGTGAAAGTCTTTTGAGACACTGGGTGCAGCAGAAATAACCAGTCTAGTATCTGATGACCAGATGACAGGCAAGATACATCTGTGTGTGCTGATTGATGGGACAGTGAGAAAGTTTCCAACAGCAAGAATAAAGGTGGCCACTCTATACTATGCAAGCAACCTTGAGGCCATATGTATGAAGGCACCCATCTATGACTTGGTGATTATCAATATACCAGGCAGTAGAAGTTTGGAGGAACCAGACAGAAAGAAGACTGATGAAACATCTACAGTTAACACAAGAGCTCAAGAAAATAAAATAATGCAAAGCATTCAAGCTCCTGCAAATCTTGAAAGATCTCATCTCGATTGTATGTCTATGTCTGAAGGAAGCACAAGAGAAAGACCTTTCACTTCAAAAACTTTGGGACAGTGCCTGAGAGAAATTTGAGCACAAGACAAAGGGGAGAAGGACTTACAGAATAGAGGCCCAGAAGGCAGTTCTATGGGTCAAGTTATACATATCACAGTAAAAATAGAATACCAGACTCAAGTAATGAAGTTGGCTCACAAGTTGATTGTGAGAGAACACCTAGGAGGAAAGAAGAAGATGACAGACAGAATCACCAGAAACTTCCATTGGCTGTGGTCATTGGAGATGTGACCAGATTATGCAGGTCATTTGACATCTGCCAAAGGACAGTACCTATAGGGAAGGTAGCCAAGGTGCCACTGGGTGAGATGCCTCTCATAGAAGCATTCAGCAGAGTAGCTGTGAACTTGATGAGACCTCTAGCACCTGTACCCGGCAAGGGTAACTGGTACATGCTGACAGTAGTCAACTATGCAATATGTTACCCAGAAGCCATGGTACTGCTGAAGATAGAGACAGAGAGAGTAGCAGATGCTCTTCTGGAAGTGTTCTGCAGTACGGCTTCCCAAAAGAAGTTTTGAGTGACTCATCAGCACTAGGCAGGCTCTTTTACTACCTGATACAACCCCAGATGTAATGGACTTTGTGAGAGAGTCAATGGAGTCTTAAAGAGCATGTTGAAGAAGATGTGCCAGGAGAGACCTCATGAAGTCCCACAAGCAAGTACAGGTTTTTCACCCTTCGAGTTGCTGCACAAGGTCTGATTTAGATATTGAAAGAGATGTAGACAGGAGAAGAATCAAAAGAGAGGAACACATACTAGTACTTGTTAGACCTCAGAAACCAACTGGAGGAAACTTGTCAACTTGCTTAAGAGAGCTTGTCTGCATCTCAAGGCAGTTAGAAGCACTTTTATGACAAAAAGACCAAGAATCGACATTTTAAGGTCAGAGAAGGTCTTGATTCTGCTACCCATAGAAAACAACAAATTCACCCTGCAGTGAAAAGGACCTTTTGAAGTGCAGGTAGTGGTCAATGGAATAGACTATAAAAGTGGATGGTAAGACCAAGATCTACCATGCCAATCTGCTGAAGAGATACTTTGAGATAGAAGAAGACCTAAGGGGTGCAGCTATTGAGGTATAGATGGACGTTGCAGGTGTGGCTGTCACAGATACAGAACCAGAAGATGCTGAATTTGTCATAGAAGATGAAGAACTACTAGACATAAGACCGCTGGGTGGAGATGAGACATACAAAGACATCAACATCAGTGAAGAACGGACTGGCAAGCAGAAGAAAGAGCTAGAAGATCTACTGTGCCAGTATGCAGATGTCTACACAGATAGACCAGGCAAGACAGATCTTGCACAACACAAGATCTAGACCATGATCAGGGATCCAGTCAAGATGAAGCCCTACTAGATGTTCTATGCGATAAGAGACCTGATCAAGCAAGATGTTGAGGTCATGTTAGAAGGTGGAATCATTGAGCCTTTGAATTCAGCCTACTGTTCACCAGCTGTAATCATGAAGAGGAGGGACAGCTCCTTGTGACGAAGTTCAATTTTGAACCTATGGACAACCCAGAGACAATCATGGTGAAACTCAATGGGGGCCAAGTTCTTTACCAAGATCGACCTCAGTAAAGGTTATTTGCAGATCCCAATGGAGACAGAAACTAAAAAGATGACAGCTTTTGTGATACCATATGGATAATATCAGTTCAAGAGGATGATGATTGGGTTAGACAACTCAGCAGTGACATTCCACCAACAATGAGGAAGCTGTTGCAAAAAACCACCAACATCGAGCATTATGTAGATGACATTCTGACCCACACAGCCAGATGGGAAGACCACCTGAAAAAAGTCAGAGAGCTATTCAGGTGACCATCAGGCCATCTAAGTGCTATATCGACTATTCTGAGCTGGACTTTGTTGGTTACAAGGTAGGTGACCGACAGATAGTCATGGAAGAGGAGAAGCTATCCTACATAAAAGATGCACCAGCTCCTACAACCATCAGTAAAATGACAGCAGTAAAATGTCATGATGCTGTAACAAATATTTGTATATATGTTTGATTTGTTTTTAATATATTATTATAAAACAAGCAGGCTGTATTGCTGTTTGTTTATAGTTAAAATTTATAGCCAACCACCACAGACAAATATTGCAAATAATCTGGCCATGCAAAATCTGACAGTTATTGTGAACTCAAAAATAGTGGAAAATATAGAAAATTTTTGAAAGTCATTTAAAACTAATCTTCATGTTTATTAAGATAGGCCATGCCTTCTGATTGAGGAGGGAAAAACAGTTTACATTCAAAGCAAAAAGTCAGGAAATAGTGTGACTGGACAAAAGAGTGTATTTATTTATTTGTTTGCATAAAAATTTACATCTGCAATAACCAAAAGAATGCTAAGATCTAGCTGGCAGTTAAGTCATTGATGTTTGAAAATGAAAACAGAATCATTTCAATGTAGGAACTGATACATGTTGGAGATGAATATCAAGATAGAAAAAATGTTGTACAGAATCATCACAACTGTACTTGAAATAATACTGCTTATTTGACTGATTATTTTCTTAGTATTACATGAACTGGGCTGTACTGCACAAAGACACATTGCATGATGACCAAAACAAGACTGACTCCAATAAAAATATTCAAAAGACACATATATTTAGTCAGAGAACAAAGAACTAATGCTTTTCTAAATTTAACCAATCAAACACAATATTGTAAAATGGCCATTCTCCAATCTTATAGAAAAATTGGGCTAATAACATGTGAAATTTCCCTTCCACTAATTTCCAGTCAAACAATACCATGAGAACACAAATAATGCAAGATTGGTGTTCTCTGGAGAAATGTTACAATCTCAAGATACATATTTAAAGTAGTCAATTACTGATGTTACAAATAACTAACGTCAGGAAATATTATAAAAATGTTAAGCATTATTGAAAGGTTAGCAGTTATGATAGCTATAACTATCACATGTATATCCAGACTAAAGAAGAGAACACATCAAAAGAGCTTTCCTTTCCTGCAGGTCTGTAACATATAGGAATAATATAGGACATATAAGCAAACATAGCTCGAATAAGGGCATAAAAAAAGAAGCACAGTGAGGAACTACAGACTCTAAGCGTCTTTTTGCATGATGGCTAACTGATTAATGCAACTGTAGAATACAAAAAATTACTAACACAGAAAAAAAGATCTCGAACAACATGTAATTCATTGAATGCTGTGAGCCTAACAAATGCAAGCAGTAACCGCTGCTGCTGTTAATTACTGCGTCTTCTTGAAATTCCATGGTTATCAGAATAGACTTAAAAAAACAAGGATTACACATTCAGTCTTAGAAGTTTCAAAAATATGTTTAAAAAATCCTACAGAAGAAGAAAATATCAGCTCAGCCAAATATCCCAGATTAAAGAAATGAAGAAATTTAGTATGTTAGCAAATGGCGTATAAAACCAAGAAATTTGTGGGTTTTGATACAGTTCACAGTACATTTGATGACATATTTCACTAAATTATGAGTATGAGAGAAAAAGTAGTTTTTCCAAAAGGACTGAACAAGATGATTTAGAGAAAAACATTAGAAATTGGGCAACCTGATGCAGCCACAGCAACCTACTCAGTTCTGGAAATGGGAGAACGTCTTTGGAGAAAAAATTGAAAGAAAAAATAGAGGGGACTGAAAATATTTAAAATGATGAGCAGAAGTATTTAAATTTTAAGGAATTCGTATTAACCAGTAACGTTCTTTTGCCTAACCAAAAACATATAAAGAATGGCAGATAAAAAAAACAACAGAATATTTTGACTGTCACACAAATAGAAAAAAAAGTATCAGGTATAAAAATTTATTGGAGAAAGAAAACTTTCAAAATGACATAAAAATTAAAAATAAGCACAGAAAAGTATAAGTTTTTCTCTCCCCCGAGACAGTAGAAATTATAATGATAAAAGAGAGAAATTGACATAACTTTTGGGGAAAAGGAAACATAAAATTATAAGTGAAGCAATACCTAAAAAAGCCTGACACTGACAAAGCAAACATATTGATATAATACATACTCAAGGTATCCTTATCAGACAATACTACAGGGGTTTAAGAAAAGGGAAGCCTCTTCCCACTGAAAAGGAATTTAACTGAGAGAAAACAATGAAACAGCCAGAACTCTGATCGACAAAATGATATGTAACTGAAAATAAGCTGAAAGTGGCAGGCCAATTAAAATATGAATTAGTGTGATAAACATCCAATGTGCCAACCTTATGTTTTCCATAAAATGTTTTCTTTCTAAAGAAAGACAAATAAGATTGTACTTGCATACATTTGAAGGTATGACCAACCATAACCCTAAGCACTAAAACAAAGTAATGTATACATAATGAAGACACTATGACAACAACTTGAGAGAAAGAAAATATGACAGGGAATTTCAGTATTAAAAATATATATTATATACTTTTTGAATAAAGTCTCAATAATCAAAACAAACCACAAACACACACAGAGCTAGAATTTTGTTCCCTAGTGACTCAGCAATAAGTCTAAGGGCTTGTAATGCTAATCATCATGTTTCAATACCAGTGCTGTACACAGCACAGATACACCATTGTGTAGTTTTGTGCTTATTAACAAAGTTAGAAAACTCAAATATACAGTTAACACAAAAAGCACTGTTAAGGAAAGTGTCTAAAAAGTGCAGTGAAGTCAAACCTTAACAATGAACCAGACGTACAGTAAACAAAACCATCCTTAAAATAACTTTAACTGCTATAAAAACCATACAACTCTAACCTATTCAGAGCTTACCTTCATTACATAAAGAGCTATGTCTAGATCCTGATGGTGAAATTCCTGTTGTTAACCTAATGATTGATATTAAAGAAGTGAGTATTCCTAAGAAATTTTGTATTTTGTATCATTTCTTTATACCATTAATTCTTTTATATCTATATACTGATCTCACAATTAAATATACATTACTTTTCTAATAAGAGTTTTCGACAGAAAAAGTTTTAAGAATCTAATTTTTTAACATTTCCTTTTACATTAAATAATAATCTCAAAAGTCCTACACACATGATCTTCTCTAACTAAGATCAATTTCAGTTTAAACAAAAATATCTTTTGGCAGGTTTTTTTCAGATCTGGTGTGTACCTAAAATTGTAAGCATCAATTCTCCCAATGATGCAAAATTTTATATTAATTTATTCAAGTTTCCTTTCCAATACTTCTCACTGACATTTTTAATTTGTAAAAATATCATTAAAAATGAATAACAGCAAATATTGAGTGAAAAATTCACAGTGCTCCATGCATCTAAAATTGTATCATTATGTATTAACCCTGAAAAGACTGATTGGAGATACTCATGGACCAAGCAGCTTTATAAAGATCTTTTTTCTACACTATCTATGCAACAAACTGCTAATGGATCGCAAAGGTTTTGGTTACAGGGTCCCTAAATAACACATAAATCAAACAAAACATTTAGAGAAAAATACCATCAGTATTGTAATGAATTCCACTAATTATTACTAGGGTTTCCTACATATTTTATATAGAAAGTTATATGAATATTTCACCCAATTTTTCATTCAATTCATTACATTATGTGTTGTAACAGGCAGAAAACTTAAAATTATCAAAATGATGCAATGTGTATTAAACTCACTGGTGGTAAGTGGTGTATAAAGAAATTGGAAATATTTCTACAACTAGGTGTAAAGCTAGTCTTCTTAGTCACTAAGTAAATGTAGATATTAACACAGTCACTTACTGAGTTTTTAATGAGCTTCCATGATTTTCTGCTTTTTCAGGTTTCAGTGCTTTCAGAGAAAAAAAACAAAAATGATATAAATATTATATGATGCCTGATGAAACAGATAAAATGGTACAAAATAAATATAATACAAGTGAGTATACATAATGACAAAACAAGCAGAACTACTACAGGGGTTTAAGAAAAGGGAAGCCTCTAGCCACTGAAAGTTTGACATAAAAAGAATTTATTTGAGAGAAAATGTTGAAACAGTCAAAACTCTGACTGACAAAGTGATACATAACTGAAAATAAGCTGAAACACAAACCACAAACATGGTATCTGGGTCTAAAACAAGTAGCCTTAAGTACTGCGTAAATAAAACAAAATAAGAATTAAGAAAATATAAAATTAACCCAAATTCGGTATGTCAGTGATCACTGCAGTAAACAAAAAAAATTGGAAAAAGAAAGAAAAATGTTCATTTTTGGTATTTCAAGAATAAGCCAAGCACACAGTTACCTAACTCCACAATAACTTGTGCACCTTGTAAGATGTTCACCATGAAATGCTTCTGTGTTCTGATATGAAGTATAACAGAAAGGCAAACTGATCCAACGGTTGGATCAGAAGACCCTCAATAGACTTGTAAAAGTCTTCTTCTGGATGTCAAGTTCTCTTCAACACTTTAGCAGGTGTTCCAAGTCTTCACAATCTACCCACATACACTGAGACAAATAAATCAGGGTTTGCTCCACCAGGAACCACTATTAATGTAAGTTGTTCTTGTGCAGATCAGAAAAACCAGAGAACAATGGTGTAAAGTTGTCAAAAAGAGATTATGCCTATATTAAAACTGTGATCTCTACCCTGAGCTGTACAACAAGCCACATAGATCAGTATCTAGCATTACTGAATCCTCATGCTAGATGATCCTTTGGAAGTGGTTTGAAATAGGTTGCAGTGAGAGAACAATGTTCATCAATGCAATCCTTGTTGCTTATAAGGCAGTGTGATCACCATCATGTCTCAAATGTGATGTACCTTGGTTCAGCTAGTCTTTTCATGATGAGAAGTGTTGAGGCCAGTCACAAACAAACACCTTGTATTCAAGAACACTTGAACAGTGACTCTATTAACATGGCAATGTGACGTTTGAGCAAACAAAAGTGGAAGTCCGACATTAGCAGAACGTGTGAATTCCATAGAGAACATGACTGTTGACCACCTCTTGCCATCCATACGTTAAATACCCAATACCACTAACCGAAAATTAATATAAACAGTCAACACATTAGAAATTTCTGAGGATAAAATCAGTGAATAAGTACTGTTACACCTTAATTTGTAGCAGAAATCACAATTACTTCATGATGCAATTATGAAATTTATAGACACTGTACTATAGTGTTCCTTCTACTTTTTATTTTCCCTACATAAGTATGCCAAATTTACTCTATGCAGGCTTGTTATTAGTTACTTCAAAGCATACTTGAAGGTGTTTCTAATGTAAAGTCAGAATTAAAAGTTATGTTAAAATCTGGCATTACAACTGTTCTCTTCCTGTGTTTAAATCTCTTGTTAATCAAAATCTGTGTGTGTATATTGAATGTATATACACACATACATACTTACATATGGTAAACCTTCAGAAAATCATATTATTTAAAATGCATGAATCAAAGGAAATATTTATGTCTGAGAAACTGAAGACTTGAAATAAAGAGAAAGAAAATATTACTGAAATGTTTTGAGAAATTGAATGAAGACTTTGCTAGTGGTGTAGCTGTCTTTCTTGTATGGCACAAAGTATGCTATGCCAGAGTTTAAATTAAGGAAGAGTAATTTTAAAATAATTACCCATATAATGTACATTTTTATACTTCTTTAAGCTCACCTATTTGGGTTCATTTAAATAAATACAAATGTAATATAGGTATACTACAATGATATTTTGTTAAAATGGAAGACTTTTCTTTGTACTAAAACATATTTATATGAATAACAAGAATAGTGAAACAAAAAAATCAGGTAAAATATATTTCTTCTTTAATATTAATAAGTATTTAACACCATTGTATTTTCCTATAAGTATAATACTAATTATGTTACTAAAATTACAAAGCAACCTTTTTTGTGGCTATTGTGAAATTTCAAAAATGGCTCATAGTCTAGTGTTTGTAAAGTAGTAATAAAGAAACTAATGTGCAAGGTCAGATCAGCCTTGATCATGCTGCTTCCCCCCTCCCAACAGCCTTGCACTGATCTCATAGATAACCCAGATGAAGATGCAATGGTGGATTTTTTACATGCCTGTTTATACTATATACAGTCTGTTCCACAGCAGTTCACTTCAGAATGCTAATTACAATGTATCAATTGGACTTTTCTTGTTTCTTCTGCCATTTAGTAGAGTGCTGTTTTTCATAATATCTCAGATCCAGGTACTTAGCATGCAGGAAAAATAGCACTCAACCATTACATATCATCAAACATGTGAGTGGTAAGGTTTTGTTTGGAGTGATGTAGAAGCCCAACAGAAATGTTTTGGCCATGGATACTTTTCACAGCTGCACTGTGTTTTGTGTAATTTTTTGTTATAATTGAAGGTCCATACATATTTTCTAACCAAAGTGTTGCCATTACTCTGTTTTGTTTTGCTTTTATTTATAATTATTTATTCATTTGGCTAATAACTTTAGCCAAGGTGTATGCTTAATTAATCAACAGTGTTGTAAACAAAAAATATGACTGATAATAGCACTGTCTCTTTTAATTTTTTATTATAGTTGAAGGTTCATATATATTTTCTAACTGAAATGTTAGTGTCAAACTGCTCTATTTGCTGTTCATTTATTATATTCAAAGGTATGTTTAGTTAATCAACAATTTTATGTTAAAATGACTGTGACTGTTAACCTGCTTGGAATGGTGACTATTAAGCAAATGTTTTTTTTGCTTTTAAATGTCAGCTGCAGCTCTTTTAATTGGCTGCAGTAAAGTAGCCTTGTAATGAAAGCTTACTATATATAGATATATGAGTATTGCACATGGATCAAATACATGTACATAAACAATGTCTACTTCTTATTTAAAAATATAAAAACATTATTACACTTCATTATAACATACTTCTAAATTAGGTGAAAATGTTTTATTTTATTTACATAGATTACCCATAAAATTAATGTGGTTTTTAATCAAATATAAACTAATAGTTATGGTGACATCAATCATATATCTTGCAAATTTGTACAATTGAAGTTTCAAACCTTTGGATCCTTCGAAGGTCAAAATTTAACCTTTGTTACAGCCTTAGTTTTTTCTTTTAGCAGCAGGAAAGTGCCACAATGGCTTAAGTGACTTAACCTTCACTATGTTAAATTCCTTTTTTTGTTGTGTTGTCATGCTGTTCAGTTATTTTTATGTATACTGAATGTGTAAGTCAAATTATGATAACTAGAATACATTATCTTATATGTATTATAACATTTTGGGACAGTAAGGGACCCATTGGTCCAAGTAGGCTGTCCCATCCTCTAAACTAAATTAAAACTATTAAATAAAGAAAAAAAACTTTCAAAGCCAGCCCTTAGCATCCAAATAGTTATCAAGCTTTATGTTAAACTCTCTTAAATTTACTGCCTCCACAACATCTGTAGGCAATCTGTTCCAAAGGGCAACCATGCACCTTATTATAAAAATGAAACTGTCTTAGCCGAAGATGTCTTCTACCCTGCCAAAATTTATATTTGTGTCCCCTAGTAAAATAAGGTTTACTTTAAAAAAAAATGTTCAGCCATATGGGAAATATTAAAGCATATGATTTGTTCACAACATGTCCATGTTCTCTTAAATTCTTTTAATTGTCAATAACTTGTGCTATTTTGTGATTTGATATCTAAGACAATAACTTGTACCTGCTTTGCTAATCAAAATCGACTGTTCATCAGGCATCTTTATCTCACACTTAAGTATTAATTAAACATGGCTTTGGAAATATTAACAGAATAAATCATTAAAGTAACATTTGCAATTCAAGTATTATTACACAAAGGGGTATCTGAGGCTGTTGTCAGTCAAATTAAGTATTGGTACTAAAATGTACAAGCTGTGAAGCTATATGTCAGTCAAATTAAAGCCAGGTATTACAATATAAAAGTAATATTTTAGTTTGTTAGTGTTAGTAAAATTAAATTTAAAGTAGTTCTTGCAAAATAACGATACCTGATGGGCCAAAAGAAACTTAATATGACAATATATTAGTTCAACCTATACCCACAATACATTTAGTAGCCTATTTCTTAAAGCCTGAATGCAATGAAAAATCTACAACCTGATTTGGAAGCCTATCAGATTAATCAAAATTTTCATATATATATGTTTATTTATTTATCTCAGATTAAAACAAAGATTAATCCAAATAAAAGAAACTACTCACTCTCCCAAACTTATAAAATCTAATTTCCATAACTTGACAAAGCAAGCCTGGATGCAGAATAATTCACTTTTAGAAATCAACAGCTACTCAAAATACTAAACTAGTGATAGTAGGTCAGTACAAACATGTAAAATAAAAATAATACATATATATACAGTAAATGCATGTGCTCTTAAAAGTGAAAAATATCTGAGAATTATCACATTGTGTCAGTATAAAAACGGACTACATATTGATCCCTTGACACTAGGCACTGACACTAAGCCTTGTATGGGAAAATAATAAATATGATATTATTTTATTTTGATTATATTATAGGAATTTGCTGACTAGCAAAATCACAGAGAGCAATTGATTCATTATTGCCCATGTATAAAAAGTTTCAAAATTATTAAATCTGTAAATGGTCAAACAGCCCTAGTTAAATGTTTCTGTAATTCTAAGGCATTACAAAAAGTATTTCTCATACCAAAACTAATTTACAAAGTTTAATATTGAAAAAAGACAAAATTTAATTCTTACCTTTTGGTTAGAAAAACCAGCATGCATCAGATCAAGAGTAAAGAGTGTATTGTTGCTCTGTAATGTATATATAGCTTGTGTTGATGCCTAGTGAGTGTTATATATAATGTCTCAGTTACATCTTCAAAACATTCCCAAGAAAATGTGATACCTGTGACCACCCAGAAACGTGTATGTCATGTAATGAAAATGATGTAACACAAGTACCAAATTGTGACCATAGGGTGACAATATTACAAAAGCCTAGTACAACAATTAAACTGCATACACAACATACAACTCATACAGAGTTACATAATGAAAGTTATTATAACTATAGCTTTTAAAATAATTACCTTTCAACACTCTTGCTATGAAAACTACATAATCATTAAATATTAAATCACTAAATAAATCTTAAACTGAAGAGTCTTGTCATATAACAATAAGTCCCTCTTCAAGAAAAATATTTACAATATTTTTTATACTATAAAACAAGACTGTTCTCAGGTCATACAGAAAGTCTACTCATCACATAGGGAATCTGGTAAGTCTCATCTTGACTGGAACCCTGGTTGTCGTCTTGATATTGTGTTGCACCAAGTTGGTAGCCATGCCTGATGTTGGCACTTGTAGTTTTTCAGAGGAGTATTCACCACTTGCAGCTGGCTGTTGCTCACCTGCTGAGTCATTAGTTGAAACCAATAGCTTTGTCTACTTTGCTGAGCAACAAAGTATGGGTAGTTTATACAAAACTACACAAGTAAAGCAAGCAGTTTGCTCTTCCTTTCCAGGATGACATCTAGACAGAGGTATCACTAGCATAGGTGCAGTAAATAAACTATGGAAGGACCAGGATAGATAGCTATGCTTATTTACTGGGATGTGTTGGTGGTTGGTTAATAATCCTTTGCTGGACTCAAATCTGCTGCTACATGGGTGCCTAGGTAGAATAATTTGTCCAAGGTAAAGTCACTGCAGCTGCTACTATGTGCTTCTCCCTCTTTTGCAACTAGTTTGAAGTTATCACTTCATATTGCATTACTACAGAAACTGCATCAGTAAGGGGGAGAAGATCTATCATGTCCAGGTGGTGCTTCATCATTTTACCAGTTAACCCTCTCACAAATTTGTCTATGAGGTTATCATTGCAATCTGCTGAGACTATTGCAGGGTAAGCCTTTCCATGCAAATGGTGCAAATAATTAGCATAAGCAGTCAAGCTTTCTGTGGCACTCTTCTTCCCAGTCTTGAACTCAGCCCAATGGATTGTTCTATTTTCCACAAGTTTGAACTTGCAATGCAACTAGATAACAACAGTACTGGAGTCCCAGTTTAGACAGTTAGACTCTGAACTCCATCGAGCACTTGAGCAAGGAAAACATTTCAAGGCATTGCATAACCTGCTCTAGAGTTCAGCCATCCTAAGCAGTTACCAGTCTGAAATGCTTCAGTAAATGGTCAAAGTCCTCCTTCATAGTACCCTAAATGTTGAATGTGGGGGGTGAGGTAATCTGTTTTACCTCACACACAGGGAACTGCAATCATAGTTAGAACTTCACCCTTACAACTTCCTGGCCACCAAAAATGTTCTTAATGACATGTACACAGAACTGTAGTCACTATCTGGGACTCTAACTCTCATCCAAGTAGTCAATCCCTGGTCCATACCAGCAGAATAACAATGGCAGTTCATCCATTGACACTGAATGACCACAGGCTCTTCCTTGATTTATAGTTGCCTTGGCAGTATACCCTCCAAGTTTGCAGAGGTTCATCACTGTCCCATGGTTCACCTACTTCACCATTTAATGCTGCCATCTCACCAGCCAGTGAGATAGGTATTGCTGGTAAACAATGTATTCTTATAAAACACTAACACATCATCATTTACACCTTTAAAAAGAAATTACAAAGTTTTTTTAACTATTAAAACTTTGCTTCATTATATAGAATATTTCACATCATCATGCCAGATTCTTTGATCTTGGCAAATACCTAGCTTTGTGAAAATTTCAGAGAAGAACTTATCAACATCAGATATTTGGAAGCCAACAAAATGTGAATTTCCCTACAAGAAAATGTAATGTTGAAATGGTTTTAATATTGCAAATCAAGAATGGAGAAGCTTATGATAGACACAAAACATACACTGTGGAACCATAATAAGTAAGATGTAAAAAATACTTCTGATAACTTGTGTTTGCAATTATCAGTGGTTTATTATTTCATATTACAATGAATTATTTCTCTCTTTGTATGAATGAATTTTAAATTTGGATTTATCAGGTTACATTTTATTATACATTAGAAAAATAATTTTATATATTTACTGATAAAATTTTGAATTTGAATAGTTGCATTACTCCAATAACTAATTATCATATCACTGATCAATTATTTAAAGTAGAACATTAAACATCTATATTACTATTTTTTACATTAGTTTCACACAATTTGAAAAGTTCAGAAGTATATTTTATGAAATGAATTTGCACTTATTTTGCATTATTTAGATAACTTATATTACAAATTTGCCCACATGTTTCACCTTGAGTTGTTTATGTAATACCACTAATATCTATACATTTCCTAAATTCACAGTTTATGCTGCAAGATATTAAAATCAAATTTAAATCTTCTATGATAGAAAATAGAACCATTATTTTTCTAATGCTGATGCTTGAATACAGTATTACTAAAAATGTTACATACAGACTTACATTGCTGATAACAAATTTCATCCTTTTCTTGAATTTTTCTCAGGCCATGAAAAGGAGATAACTGAAAACACTCATTCAACAAATCAACATCAACATTTCTGGAAACATAAATAAACCCCACAGCAAATCCTTCTACCTATGAATAAAAAAATAACATGGACCATTATTTCAAAAGTCAAAACCTACATGTAAAAACATCCTAAAGATGATTTAATATGTCTTGTAATATTACCAACCTTGATTATTTTTTGATAATATGCTTTCACCTCATTTGAGCTAACTCACCATACAAAAGTATAGGATCTATAAACCTACTTCTGAATAAATATTTATGTACAATTTTCAATGGTTATTTGTTGAAAATATTAAAAACATCAATATTTTAGTACTCCATTTTCACTTAACAAACTTTTTATATCCTAGACCACCTGTCAGTACACTTTATATTTACATCATTTTATATCAAAATATCAGCTAATGTTCATATTTGTTTTAGAATTATGCATTCATATAATGATATATATACACACACACTGTTACAGTATTCAAAACCTTTCTTACATGTTTACATGTGTTGTTGAAACTTCCAAATACATGTTCTTTTGTAATGTCAAAGATAAAGAATGTTACTCTTGTTAAATACTCTGAGTTTTCAATCCTATTTTAAAATAACCAGGTAAGAATCCTAATGAAGTTAGGTTTAACTTTCAGTTATGCTAATTACAGTAATATTGTATAATATTTGATCTTTTGACTACAGACTTATTGCAAACTTTATGTTTGATGTTTTAATTAATCAACAAACATGGTACTTCAGGAATTATAATTTTATCAATACAGTTAATTTTGGTTTACGGTTCAAAAATTATCTAATTCAATTAAATTGTAAATGTTACAGATTAAATATGCTTGAAATATGTTTGCAGAAGAAATGTTTGGTGCTTTTCTAAGGCAGATCAAGCAGACTGTAATATAAGGTAGAAACAAACTGAAAAAAAACATTGTTTTCAAATCTCTCTTGTGATTAAAATGTACATAAAATATATACTAATATTGAAAGTGCACACGATATTATTTATAAGATATATGACGGTTATATTGCACTTATGTAGATATGTCTTGTACATAATAAAGGAAGTACATGTAGGGTTAAAATGTTAATCTCCTAAGCTGTCACTTTCCAAGGATATTAACTTTTCTCAACAACTTCCTATTGATTTAAAATGAGATAGTAAACTTTTTAAATTCAGAACTGGAAACATTCCATATTTCTTTTATATTGTTAATCAGTTTACTTTCATTGCACAGATTTGAATTTAAAACAAAACTGATATATATCAAGGCCCATCGGTTGGCATTAAAAATGGGTAAGAAGCATTGCAGTTTTTTAATGGAATATATATATATATATTTATATATCAATGCCCCAATGAAATACTCACTTCATACAGACTATATTATTATATAGGTTTAAATTTATTCAGAACTTATCAATATGATTACAACAATTACATACATTTTAAGACCTTAAATTCAAAATAGATGACAAATTTGCTCTATGATCTGTAACAGTAATGCATACAGACAAGTCACAAGTAACCACAAGAACGACAACAACATGATTTTCATTCCATAGTTTAATCAGAATGATAAGCTTAGCCTGTCAAAATTAGCCTTGAGTATCTTATGTTTTGTTAATTTTTTTATATTTGTGCATTATTAGAGTGATGTATTATTATTGTTTTTTATAATGCCTGAGCTATAGAAATAACACTTATTCAGGCACAAAAAAGATACTGTTAAAATAAATTCTAAATATTCATGCATTACCAAGCAAAGTACTAATGAATTCTTTGTCATTCACAATTCCATAAGTATACATCAGCTTTTCCCAACTTCAGTTTAACAACAAATGATAAAGCCTAGCACCTTCCTCCCAAATACTATGTTTTGTCCAGAGCTAAAAACTCCTCTACCATGTAAACAAAATCAAATAATATTTAATGAATATATTATTTCAACTTGCCAAAACAGAGAAGTCAATTTGTACCTCAATAAACACATACCTATTCACTTGCAGACAAAAGTACTGTACCATTTTCAAATAGCATTGATTTTCCTATGAGTGACAAGATAGGTCAAGTGAATAACAGAAGATTTGTCAAGATGTTTACTGTGAAATAATTCAGTATTCTCTGACTAACCGAGTTCATGGGAAATAAAGAGAGCATCATTTGTGGGAGTGTTATATGTGAAAATGTCATGTGTTTTCTACCTTCTATAGCGGTATAAAAATCATCAAACTTTCAGTTACTTAATTTCTGCACTTTCATGGCAGCAACATATGATCCAGAATATTGTTAACTTTGCCACATTTTAGTTGATTTACCCTTTGTTCTCTAGTAGGTGATGTCTCTTCTGCACATAAGATATTTCAGTATTGTATTTAAAAACAGGATTGAATGGGTTAGTACTGAAATATACTTGGCTAGCTGATTATGATGTTGAACAAAAGTGACAGCCTACCAATGCCGTAAAGGAACAGAAGTTGTGCGTTGAAAGTGTCCACTGAACAAAGAAAACAAGTTTACATTTTAGATTTGAGCACACTTTCTTAGTTCAGATTTTCACTAGATGACTGATGAAGACATACTATCTTAGATACCTGAATGTTTAGCTTTGCAGACATCAATCTCCAGAGAAAGAAAACTGGAAAGTTAAGCACCAATCATCTAGTGCAGGGGTCATGTGACCAATTAAAGTGGCTTTAAACTTCACCTTCAAAGTTTTTATTTTCTCATGCAGTGATATTTGGTTTGCTTCATTTTTCAGCTCAGTCACTCACCTGTGCTGCAGGTGACAAACAGTATCATCACAACTTCATCTTCAAATTCTTGACATAAGCCAACCAAATTGCTTATCCATATTCTCCCAACTTGGCATGTATAATATAGGCACAAGTCAATCAACATGCTCAATCCTACCTCCCCATTAAGACTATATCAAAACCAATTATGTGAAGTGGAAGTTTTTAAAAGTTTGTATAAAAACAATGAAAACAAAAATGACTGTATGTTATATTTATATACATAATTAGATTAATTATTATCAGTGGATTAAGGAAAAATATTAATGATGATTGAGAAAGGTGTTGTGTCTTTTACAGCACATGGATTACTTTATTTTTGCTAAATAACTAGACTGTACAGATGTTGGAAAGTGTAAAGCAATCTTTATTATGACACAAAGCAAAATCAAAACAAAAACTGAGGTACACCTGCACAAACAAAGGGACATTTGCTATTACTGGATTAGCAAATGGGTTGGCAGGTTTCTTTCATTCTGTCAAACTAAACATTTTGAAAATGAAGCAGAGCTCTAAAGTACCACGACTCAAGACTTACAAAAAACATTGGTCCCTTTCGTTGATATAGCATTACATGAGACTAACCATTCTCTCACAGTATTCATGGAACATACAAATATCATCCACTTGGTCAATGAAAGGACATTGCAGTCATTGACCCCACTAATATGCGAAACTGCAGCAACATCCCCACAGACAGGGTAGATAATATCTGCTATCAATAACAACAAAAACGTAAAGGTAATGAAACAATTTTATTGACTTTCTGGACCAATTAGCAGAGAAACAGACTAAACATAAAAGTTTTAAAATTCCTATATTACTAAAGATTGTGTAAAAAACACATTATGCCCATATATCACACACATGAAAGTGTCACTTTGTTTTTGTTTTGTGGTCTAAACAGTTGTATTTAAATATCATCACATATAAGTCTAAGGAAATGTTGTTTTTTACCCTTATGTTTTAAAATTAACATAATTTTGTTTATAAATATATATATATGCATATGGAATGTACCTTGCAAACTAATATTATAAACATATACTGTATATTCATTACAATACCCACTAACACACACACACACACATATATATATATATATGTGTGTGTGTGTGT